TATAGACTGATCTATAGTCAAAACTATAGACTGACAAGACTACTGATCAAGAGACTGATCTATAGTCAAGACTTTAGACTGATCTATAGTCAAGACTTTTGACTGCTCTTTAGTCAAGACTATAGACTGATCTATAGACAAGACTATAGACTGACCTATAGGCAAGACTATAGACTAACCTATAGTCAAGACTATAGTCTGATATATAGTCAAGTCTATAGAATGATCTATAATCAAGACTATAGAATGATCTATAATCAATACTAGAGAATGATCTATAGTCAAGACTATAGACAGATCTATAGTCATGACTGACCTATAGTCAAGACTATAGACAGATCTATAGTCATGACTGATCTATAGTCAAGACTATAGACTGATCTATAGTCAAGACTATAGACTGATCTATAGTCATGACCATAGACTGATATATAGTTATGACTATAGACTGATATATAGTTATGACTATAGACTGATCTATAGTCAAGACTATAGACTGATCTATAGTCAAGACTACAGACTGATCTATAGTCAAGACTATAGACTGATCTATAGTCAAGACTATAGACTGATCTATACTCAAGACTATAGAATATAGACTGATCTATAATCAGGAATATAGACTGATCTATAGTCAAGGCTGTAGATTGATCTGTTGTAAAGACTATATACTGATCTATAGTCAGGAATATAAACTGATCTATAGTCATGACTATAGACTGATCTATAGTTATGACTATAGACTGATCTATAGTTAAGACTATAGAGTGATCTATAGTGAAGACTATAGACTGACCTATAGTCATGACTATAGACTGACCTATAGTCATGACTATAGACTGATCTATAGTCACGACTATAGACTGATCTATAGTCAAGACTATAGACTGATCTATAGTCAAGACGATAGACTGATCTATAGTCAAGACGATAGATTAATCTATAGTCAAGACGATAGACTGATCTATAATCAAGACAATAGACTAATCTATAGTCAGGACTATAGACTGATCTATAGTCAAGACTATAGATTGATCTATAGTCAAGACTATATTCTGATCTGTCGTCAAGACTATAGACTGATCTATAGCCAAACTATAGACTGATCTATAGTCAAGGCTATAGACTAATCTATAGTCAAGGCTATAGACTGATCTGTCGTCAAGACTATAGACTGACCTATAGTCAGGAATATAGTCTGATCTATAGTCAGGAATATAGACTGATCTACCTTCTATAGTCAAAACTATAGACTTATCTATAGTCAAGACTATGGAATGAACTATAGTCAAGACTATAGACTGACCTATATCCTATATCCTATATATACATATATAGCATTTGATATCGAACCAGAAAACGTGTACATTTTATTTTAATTCCGCTGTCAGTTTTTTTTGATTCATTACGATCATTTGTCAAAATTTTTGAAAAGTTTGTTTTACGAACTTTGTACCCTTTTCACTAACATGAATACAGTTCGATTCATTAATGACTTAACAAAATTTGCTTATTGTATATAATGCAATATTTGAAGTTTTTCAGTCGATTATTTCATCACACCCCCTTTTGGAATGGGTCTTATCAAAAATTGTTGGATCCCCCAATAAAATTGAAAGCAAATAAACATGAAAAATAGTATTAATTAAAGGTGTGTGCCAGAGAGATGTTATTTTGTTGTGATTTCTATGAAATAGGGAAAGAATCATACAAGCCATTAATTCTTTTTAGATCAAAGTTTTTATAATTCACTATCAATACTTCATATATTGACAAACATTTAAATAAATTGCACTATTATCAAACTCTTTCATCAGTTAATTCTACAAACACTTTTGTGATCGTCTCGAAAATACCACTAAACTCTAACCATAAAACATACAAATTCAAAAATGTTGAAGTAAAATACCTATTTTCTAATAGAAATTGAATCATCATCCATTAGACTTATAGTCTTGAACTAACTATTAAATATTGTTGTTGCTTAAGACATAAATGAACTTTGTTTTAAAGAAAACTTATCATTTAATGTTTATACTTTTAGCAATATGTAGACGTTGGACAAACAATCAAATTGATTTATTATCGTTAAGTCCCATAATTGTTTAATGACATTCTAATCTCTCCCCAGAGACTTTTGAAAAACACCCAGAGAAATTTTGTAAATGTCAGAAAGGAAAGTTTCGATTGTAAGTTGAAACACTCGAATATAAAGATAATTAATACCAAAATACTAAATCGTTTTAAAACTCATTTTCTTTACCAGTTCCTAAAGTACGCCAAGTCGACCACTGCTGCTTTCTTGTGAACTTGACCTAGGAATCAAGTACACTTAATTAAATTTTTGTGATGTAATTAATAACACTTATTAATTGACAAATATTAGCGCCGCATCTCACCGTTTTGTTTTCAAAAAAAAAAATACAACGTAAATTTTTACTTTCCAATTGTTAAATAATTATTTATTAATATTTGCTTTATAGTGGAAAACTTATAAAATAATGCACTTAAACAAATTAAACCCTATAAAACTGTAGATAATTTTATTGAAGTTAAATTAATATTATACGGGCATTAAATTTGTGATTCATGCATTATGGATAACTGAATCAGAAGTGAACTAGAACTGAACTGAACTAGAACTGAACTAGAACTGAACTAGAACTGAATTAGAACTGATCTAGAACTGAACTAAAACTGAACTAGAACTGAACTAGAACTGAACTAGAACTGAACTAGAACTGAACTAGAACTGAACTAGAACTGAACTAGAACTGAACTAGAACTGAACTAGAACTGAACTAGAACTGAACTAGAACTGAACTAGAACTGAACTGAACTAGAACTGAACTAGAACTGAACTGAACTAGAACTGAACTAGAACTGAACTAGAACTGAACTAGAACTGAACTAGAACTGAACTAGAACTGAACTAGAACTGAACTAGAACTGAACTAGAATTGACCTAGAACTGAACTAGAACTAAACTAGAACTGAATTAGAACTGAACTAGAACTGAAATAGAACTGAACTAGAACATAACTAGATCTGAACTATAACTAGAACTGAACTATAACTAGAACTGAACTATAACTAGAACTGAACTATAACTAGAACTGAACAATAACTAGAACTGAACTATAACTAGAACTGAACTATAACTAGAACTGAACAAGGACTGAACTACAACTGAACTGGAACTGAACTAGAACTGAACTAGAATTAAACTAGAACTGAACTAGAGCTGAACCAGAACTGAACTAGAACTGAACTAGAACTGAACTAGAACTAGAACTGAACTAGAACTGAACTAGAACTGAACTAGAACTGAACTAGAACTGAACTAGAACTGAACTAGAACTGAACTAGAACTGAACTAGAACTGAACTAGAACTGAACTAGAACTGAACTAGATCTGAACTAGAACTGAACTGAACTAGAACTGAACTGAACTAGAACTGAACTAGAACTGAACTAGAACTGAAATAGAACTGAACTAGAACTGAACTAGAACTGATCTAAAACTGAACTAGAACTGAACTAGAACTGAACTAGAACTGAACTAAAACTGAACTAGAACTGAACTAGAACTGAACTAGAACTGAACTAGAACTGAACTAGAACTGAACTAGAACTGAAATAGAACTGAACTAGAACTGAACTAGAACTTAACTAGAACTGAACTGGAACTGAACTAGAACTGAACTAGAATTAAACTAGAACTGAACTAGAACTGAACTAGAACTGAACTAGAAATGAACTAGAACTGAACTAGAACTGAACTAGAACTGAAATAGAACTGAACTAGAACTGAACTAGAACTGAACTAGAACTGAACTAGAACTGAACTAGAACTGAACTAGAACTGAACTAGAACTGAACTAGAACTGAACTAGAACTGAACTAGAACTGAACTAGAACTGAACTAGAACTGAACTAGAACTGAACTAGAACTGAACAAGGACTGAACTAGAATTGAACTAGAACTGAACTATAACTGACCTGGAACTGAACTAGAACTGAACTGAACTAGAACTGAACTTGAATTAAACTAGAACTGAACTATAACTGAACTAGAAATGAACTTGAACTGAACTAAAATAGAACTGAACTAGAGCTGAACTAGAACTGAACTAGGACTGACCTAGATCTGAACTAGAACTGAACTAGAACTAAATTGAACTGAACTATAACTAGAAGTGAACTATAACTAGAAGTGAACTATAACTAGAACTGAACTATAACTGAATTAGAACTGAACTGGAACTGAACTAGAACTGAACTGGAACTGAACTAGAACTGAACTAGAATTAAACTTGAACTGATCTAGAACTGAACTAGAACTGAACTAGAACAGAACTAGAATTGAATTAAAATTATACTAGATCTGAACTAGAACTGTACTTGAACTGAACTAGGGTTGAATTATCGTTGAACTAGAACGGGACTAGAACTGTTCTTGAACCGAACTAGAGTTGAATTAGAAAACTGGACTTGACCTTGACTAGAACTATATTTTGCAGGAATTTCTTTCTCTCATTTTCTGATCAATATTTCTCTCTAAGTAAAAGTTTCTGCAACAAAGAAAAAGTTATAAAAGTATTTTCATAAAAAATTTATTAGTTTTGTTGCCACCATAAAAAATATCAACAGTTTAATAACAGAGGATTTGGTATATAATCCAAATTAAGATTTAAACTTATGTAAATATTCATGTGACTAAATATTATCAATTTTCTAATAATTAGTTTAAAAATAGTTTATTAAAGGCTTAGCGCAAATATTGGGGTGATTTAAGACAAAGATTACTGTAGTTGGGGGTTTGTTAAAATATAGATAAAGAACTTTAGTAGATAGACACAATGTGTTAGCTGAGAAAGCAAAAAAGGGTCAAATAACCTAAGTTGCTAATTTAAAACAAAGATACCTTTATTTGAGAGTTTATTAAACTATTGATAAAGTACTAAAGTAAAGAATTTATTAGTAAATTGTAGCAAACATTTTCTGGTTAGTAATATAGTTTATTTAAAATAATAGTTTTGTTTTCATCTTTACATACATATTTACTTTATTTAATAATATTACATTACATGAATATTTAATTTTTATTTTTTTTTTCTATATTATTTATATAAAAAAATCGAATGTATTGCTGTTGTCTTTTGTTTTACAAACACAAAAAACAACTGTATTTTCACTAAAAAAATGGATTGAATTTAAAACTTAAAAGAAATACTTGTTTGTTTTTGTACAAATGTAACAATTTTTTCACTTAAGTATAGACCATTTTAACTGTTCACGAGCCGATTGTAGGACCTGAAAAGAATATAATTGAGATAAAGAAAAGCATTTAATAAGGAACTACAAGCTTAAATTAGATAATAAATTGTAGGTGAATAAAACTATAAAAATAAGTGAAAGCAAGTATAAATAAATGAAGAAGAAATTTATTTTTTAAAAGAAAATAATATTTTTGGCAGGTTTTCTATAATATTACTTTTATCATAAATTAAACAATTGAGTATAATATATCATTTAGTTTAAATTTAATTAATTATTAAAATAATTTCAAAGTAAAATTAAGTAACACATATTTAACAGGTTTTAATATCAGTAACAAGTACAGTTTTTTATAAAAAGTATAATAAGCTTTTTTCACATTTTATTATTGACTACCAAAAGAGTCCGTTTAAAGTGTTAGTTACCTGGGCCACAGTCTGTTCGGCAATGGGAATGTCGTCATTACGCAAATCGACTCTTTTGACAACTGACGAAGGATCGGCATCCAAAATTATGCTGTAAGAAACGAAATTAATGATAAAAATTTAATTCTATTGATAAAATTAAACAACTAAAACTAAATAAAGATTTTCAAGAATTTTTTAAATTGGAAAATTTCAATAACTTTGTCAAAAAAGAAACAAAAAATAAACAAAGTTGTCCAAAAAGCGAGAAGTTTTCAAAATTAAAAAAAATATATAACTTTAAACAATTTTATTAAGAAATCCAAAAGAAAAAACTAGAACTGAACTAGAACTGATTTAAACTAGAACTGAACTAATATAAAACTGAACAAGAACTGAACCAAAACTGAACTAGAACAAGAACTGAACTAGAACAGAACCAGAACTGAACTGAACTAGAACTGAACTAGAACTGAATTAGAACTGAACCAGAACTGAACTATATCTAAACTAGAACTGAACTAGAACTGAAACAGAACTGAACTAGAACTACAGTAGAACTGAACTATATTGCCGAACTAGAACTTAACTAAAACTGAACTAGATTGCCAAACTAGAACTGAACTAAAACTGAACCATAACTGTCCAATATCCGAACTATAACAGAAATAGAACTGAACTAGGAAGAAACTAAAACTGAACTAGAACTGTACAAGAACCGAACTAGAACTGAAATAGAAATGAACTAGAACTGAACCAGAAATGAACTAGAACTGAACTATATATGAATTAGAACAGAACTAGAACTGAAATAGAACTGAACTAAAACTGAACTAGAACTCAACTAGAACTGAACTGAACTAGAACTGTACTAGAACTGAACTAGAACTGAACTAGAACTTAACTAAAACTTAACTAGAACTGTACTAGAACTGAACTAAAACTGATTTAGAACAGATAAAAATGCCTACAAACAAATTTCATCACTCCTCTGAAAAACACTAATCAAATAACCCCACAACTTACCCTCCATCACAGATCTCATCAAAAGCCAACATAATAATTTCCAAATTATCCAAAACCAAACGTTTCTCCACATTTTTCTTCAATATCAAACTGATAGAGTCATACAGACAATTCAAAACTGACAACAGAATCAACTCGTTCTCATAGGCATTTCCCATGACATAGAAAAACAAATCCACATTTGATTTGTAGACACAGGTTAGACCATCCAACATAATGATTTCGGTATTAGAACGGTGGGTCTTATTGAAGAGATTCTTTTCGAAGGCTTTCTGTTCCTTGACAGTGGCCAAGATGTTTTTGTCATAGTATTTGGCCAATATGCGATTGCCATCGTTGTCCATAATACACATACCCTTAATGATGTCCTATGTGGTGGTGGACATTTTAAATAAGTAAAATATTAGTATTTGTGCAAATCTTTGTGTAATTTTATAAATATTTACCATCATAAATCCGTCCATGGTGTTGTGGCTGATAATTTTTTCTTTTGGAAATTCTTTAACGTTTGACAGTTGAACACGTCAACTGCTGGGGATGTTTGACAGCTGTTTGTTTATGTGTAAGAGTACAGAGTTGAGGAAAAGCAAGCACTTAACGGCGTTAATTGGACGTACAATAATATGAACGAAAATTGTTGATTTTTTGAATAAATGTGATTTATTTGGTTCAAGACATATTAATCCGCTATTACAATGGCTAGACTATAGACTAGACTATAGACTAGACTATAGACTAGACTATAGACTAGACTATAGACTAGAATATAGACTGGAATATAGACTAGACTATAGACTAGAATATGGACAAGACTATAGACTAGACTACAGACTAGACTATAGGTTAGGATATAGACTAATAATTTAGGCTTTACATTAGACCATCGACTAGGCACTAGACTTTCTATAGAATATAGTCTAGTCTTCCTGACTTTCTAAAGAATATATTGAAATCAAAACCGTAAACTAGACTATAATTAGGACTATAAACTAGACTTTTATCAAGATTTTATAGTAGAAGATTATAGAGAAATTATTATTCGATTCTACTTTGACATTTTCCACAAAACTTAATCGATTAATTGAAAGTCGGTTTATAGGAGTTTAAATTGTTGAATATTCAGCTTTTGTTTTTAATAAACAGATCTTGCTACAAAACACAGCTCGAACAAACTGACGGTTAAATTTAAAATAAATTTTTCTATAGACTAGACTATAGACTAGACTATAGACTAGACTGTAGACTAGACTATAGACTAGACTATAGACTAGACTATAGACTAGGCTATAGACTAGACTATAGACTAGACTATAGACTAGACTATAGACTAGACTATAGACTAAACTATAGACTAGACTATAGACTAGACTATAGACTAGACTATAGACTAGACTATAGACTAGACTATAGACTAGACTATAGACTAGACTATAGACTAGACTATAGACTAGACTATAGACTAGACTATAGACTAGACTATAGACTAGACTATAGACTAGACTATAGTACTAGACTATAGACTAGACTATAGACTAGACTATAGACTAGACTATAGACTAGACTATAGACTAGACTATAGACTAGACTATAGACTAGACTATAGACTAGACTATAGACTAGACTATAGACTAGACTATAGACTAGACTATAGACTAGACTATAGACTAGACTATAGACTAGACTATAGACTAGACTATAGACTAGACTATAGACTAGACTATAGACTAGACTATAGACTAGACTATAGACTAGACTATAGACTAGACTATAGACTAGACTATAGACTAGACTATAGACTAGACTATAGACTAGACTATAGACTAGACTATAGACTAGACTATAGACTAGACTATAGACTAGACTATAGACTAGACTATAGACTAGACTATAGACTAGACTATAGACTAGACTATAGACTAGACTATAGACTAGACTATAGACTAGACTATAGACTAGACTATAGACTAGACTATAGACTAGACTAGACTAGACTAGACTAGACTATAGACTAGACTATAGACTAGACTATAGACTAGACTATAGACTAGACTATAGACTAGACTATAGACTAGACTATAGACTAGACTATAGACTAGACTATAGACTAGACTATAGACTAGACTATAGACTAGACCAGCGGTTCCCACCATTTTTTACTTCGCGGACCCCTTGAGGAATTTATTTAATTTCACGGACCCCCATACATATTTTGATATCTTATTGTTATAAATAACACTGTGATACAAAAGTGAAGAAAAATAAAATGCAGGCGTTCTCATATACTAATTCTATTTCGTTATAGTCCATAGAGTACGAATATATTTTTAGTTTTCCCCTATCACTTCGTTAACTTACTTTTTAAGAGCAAAAGATGCGAAAAAGAGCCATTTTTGAAGTTTTAAATTTGAAAAATCATAAGTTTAGTAGTTTTCATCCGATTTTCAAATCCGATTTTTTTTTTTAATGATACAAGTGTCTTTTAATCCAAAAAAAGAAATCCAAAATTTATGGTCAAATGTCTGAGTTACGGTCGTTTAAGTAAAAAAACTCACACTTTTTTAAAAAATTTTCATTTTCATCATGCTCTACTTTGACCATGAGGCAGTGAGTTCATCTTTTATTACTTTCCTGAAGAATCACATAAAGGAAGGTTTCTAAAACTTGTTATTTCATAAAAATCTATGAAAAATTTTTGGTTTTCTGCATACAAATTAATTTTTGTATAAAAATGTTTATAAACATTTTTTAAACTTGTTACAAAGAAAACCAGAAACATGAACGTTTTTGTATGGAAGAAATATACTATATTTTTATAAAACTTAGCACAACTCATAACCTTTTTCATCGATTATTATAAATTGACCATCATTGGAAACCCAACTTAATGTGGCTTTTTTCAAATGTAATAAAAGCTAAAGTTATTGCTTCATGGCCAACGTAGAGCAGTATGAAAATTAAAAATTGTGAAAAAAGTGTGAGTTTTTTTACTTAAATGGCCGTAACCAAGACATTAATCATAAATTTTGGATTTATTTTTTTGGGTTGAAAGACAACACTTGTATCTTTAAAACAAAATATCCAATTTGAAAATCGGTTGCAAACTACCAGACATATATTTTTTTAAAGTTAAAACTTCAAAAATAGCTCTTTTTCACAACTTTTGCTCTTAAAAAGGAACTAAACGAAGTGATCGGGAAAAATTAAATTAAATTAAATTCCTACTCTATGGACTATAACGAAATGGAATTGGTATATGAGAACCCCTGCATTTTTTTGCTGAATCACTGTGTAATTGTTCGTCCGAAAATTGTCTTAGTCCTGGTCCATAAACCCTATAAAATATTCCCGTACATTGAGAACATTTAGTATTTCGGAGATGTTTTCAATTTCATGGTTTTAAATATAGAATGACTTCTAACATGATGTTTAATTTTATGATCGTGAGAGCTTTCATGTTCATTTCTCGTCAAGATAGAGAAAAGGTTTCTTTAACAAGTATTGTCGACATGGCTTAAAGAGTCATGTTTCTAAATTTTTTTGCGATTGCATAGGAGTGAGCTGAGTATGTAAGCTAAGTTTTCGGGAAAATATGTGAAAGTTAGACTTCTTCGATGTTGTTGCGGAATGCGTTACCCACATAAAATATGACCTGAACTCTTTGCGAATGTACTGTGAATTTGGATCTTAAATTTGAATTTTAAAATACCTACGAATTATTTTACTGCGTGGTTTTGACTATTTACGCAAAACGCTATGAATTTTCTGATGTTGATTTAATAATATTGGACAACAAAATGAAGTTAAAATCTGTGTATCACGTTGGAATGGAATATTTATATTTAAAATTAACTAGATTAACACTTTTGCTTACAATTTAAAAAAATATTATGAAATGTGACCTAACTTCATATTCCGGGATACTAGTATCAGTATTTAATTCTAAGGCAAATCATTATCCGTCTGCTATAAAAACATTTATTTCGATACATATATATTTATAAAAATTACAAATCATGTAATACTTTACTTTATAAAAGTGAAACAATAAATTTGTAGCGCCTAGCTTCATCCTGATAAACGACCGAAACAATAAAATTCAAAGAGTCACCAACAAATCTGGGATTATTGAATAAAAATTGTGTATTTTAGTATTTATGAAAAATTTGGAGATATTTTTAATATTTTGTAACATATAGAGAATATTTTTTATTCATGATTTTTTTCGTTCGTCTTCGCGGACCCCCTAGGATTTTGCTACGGACCACTAGGGGTCCGCGGACCCCCTTTTGGGAACCGTTGGACTAGACTATAGACTAGACTATAGACTAGACTATAGACTAGACTAGACTAGACTATAGACTAGACTATAGACTAGACTATAGACTAGACTATAGACTAGACTATAGACTAGACTATAGACTAGACTATAGACTAGACTATAGACTAGACTATAGACTAGACTAGACTATAGACTAGACTATAGACTAGACTATAGACTAGACTATAGACTAGACTATAGACTAGACTATAGACTAGACTATAGACTAGACTATAGACTAGACTATAGACTAGACTATAGACTAGACTATAGACTAGACTATAGACTAGACTATAGACTAGACTATAGACTAGACTATAGACTAGACTATAGACTAGACTATAGACTAGACTATAGACTAGACTATAGACTAGACTATAGACTAGACTATAGACTAGACTATAGACTAGACTATAGACTAGACTATAGACTAGACCTATAGACTAGACTATAGACTAGACTATAGACTAGACTATAGACTAGACTATAGACTAGACTATAGACTAGACTATAGACTAGACTATAGACTAGACTATAGACTAGACTATAGACTAGACTATAGACTAGACTATAGACTAGACTATAGACTAGACTATAGACTAGACTATAGACTAGACTATAGACTAGACTATAGACTAGACTATAGACTAGACTATAGACTAGACTATAGACTAGACTATAGACTAGACTATAGACTAGACTATAGACTAGACTATAGACTAGACTATAGACTAGACTATAGACTAGACTATAGACTAGACTAGACTATAGACTAGACTATAGACTAGACTATAGACTAGACTATAGACTAGACTATAGACTAGACTATAGACTAGACTATAGACTAGACTATAGACTAGACTATAGACTAGACTATACTATAAACTAGACTAAATATAGATTAGACTATAGACGAGACTATAAACTAGAATATTGACTACACTATAGACTCGAGTATATACTCGAGTATAGACTCGAGTATAGACTCGACTATAGACTTAACTATAGACTCGACTGAAATTAGACTATAGACTCGACTTGGAAAATGTGTTGAGTTCTTCATTTTCTGATATCGAAGCTTATGAATGTAAAATTTCACCGATCTTGTTATAATCTAAAATAATAATAAAATTTCATTATTTTTAGATTATTAAAATCAAGCAAACTTCTCATTCATAAACTATCGTAATATTTATTTTCAATATTTACAAAATAAACATAAAATTCATTGATCTTCCACGCTAGTATT